TATATATATATATGTCTTAGTGACAATTTTGGGAATCACTGTTGTATTAAGGGGATAAAAAAATTATATGTTGGGGTTGGACAAGTATTTCCAGCTTCACGCCGTTACACAATCATGGATTATCTGTCTTCAACAAGTGAGAAAATGGCAGGCTCCAGGCTTTAAGTCCCTTCTAGAAATCAGTGCGTGACATCGCTGATGTTATGTCCCTATTTTTCTACAGTTAATGGGTAAAGTGCCTGGATATAAGCATGTGCGATTTAATGAGTGCATATATGGGTTTGATTGCAAATTTAACCATAAACGTAAGTGTATTTCTTTGTGATTCTGTGACTAAACAAATCATCTGTGAAAAATCAGCGCCTGCGCCCACCTCCGATGTCAGGTCTGAGTTTGTTGTCATATCCATCTAGTAGGCTGTTTAGGATGTGTGTGACGTCACTCTCGTACACTTTGGGAGTCAGCACCCACGTCTTGTTAGACACCTCATCATCGTCATCAGTCTGGAAGGAGCTGCGGGGGGGTGAGAGAGAGTACAAATGCATGCAATCAATACCTTTTTTTATAAGGAGAGCAAGCAGTGTTTTTTTCCGAGAGTGCTCTGCTTTCTTTATAGAGAAACATTAGGAGATGAGAGACACAACGAGAGAAAAGTGTTCTGAAGTTGTCAATCCAAGGCCAGGAGATGAACTTGGATGAAAAATGTCCAGGCTTTTCATCACCACGTCTGTGCTACTGTAGACACACTGAAATATATGTGATTATCTTCGATTTCATTTTGTGTCTTCTATTTGTATAAAACAAAGCGACTGCATGGAAAATACAATATGAATTACAGAAAAGAGTGAAATAAAGTGATCAATATGTAGCATTACCATATGAATGATCTATGGTACACATGCAGTGCACACTTGTGATACAGAACATGCATTTCTCAATTTTATCACACTATAAGGTTGCCATTAATCAAATATTCACATTGTTTTGATCTGTGTATGTATTTAGACCACACCAGATAAGACAAAGTAAAAACAAACGGTGTACTGTCTAATATTTGACGTGAAAATGAGATGAAAGGGCTGAACTTATTTGCTTCAGATCTTTGCTTCCCCTGCATGATTCATAATCCTGTGGATCACAGTGTTGCTGACAATGACACAAGGCTAATACATATATGCTCACCTGCATAATAACATGGATAATAATCAATAGAAGTTGACAAAATGGACAGGTCAGCAATTAAATCAAAGTAGTGTCTTTTAAACCTCTTTCATGTGAAATCAGAAAAAAACCCACACACCAATAATTTAATTTTAATTCAATTTAAAAGTCTAATGTTGAAAAACTGATTTTATTTTTCTACCATCAACATCCAGATTTATGTAAAACTCACAGCTTTGTCCCAGCACCTACTATGCATTCTTAGTGGCTGACTGACCAATGAGACATGTTTGTGATGAAGGACTAGATTAATTTAAAAACACTTAAAAATGGCCTTCATTAAATGTCATACACTCTTACTGCAAGGCCCAGAGTTGAATGAGAAGATCCACAATGGCATTCAATGGGCTAAATATGTCCTTCAATTTTCATCTCACTGACTGCAAAAATAATGATACGATGGCAAAGTTGAGGTACTAAAGCCAAAAAGGGTTTTTAGGGCCCCCAACTTTCTGTGAGAGCTGGAGAAGACAAGCCAATTTTCCTGAGTTTACTCGCTCACCCCAGACGTCTCAAACTGAAAGGATAATGATGTCTCAAGAGCCCCCGACCACAAATACTACCACGGCGGAGCTGTAAATGTTTTTCCTGCTCTCTCTTGGTAAATTATATGTCTGGCATGAAGGTTTATCCTTTGTGGCAATATATTTTATTCAGGTTTAACACCTGAACAGAAGTTGAAGATATGTGATTTGCAATGATAATGTATTAGGATGAATTAATATGCTGAAAACAACATGCTGACATTAAGAAAGACTAGTGTATGTCAGGAGACGTAGCACTACATAATGCTTTCTGCAAGAGTAGAGGTTTGTACTGCCAGGGGGGCAGGAGTGAGATGTGTACGTCCTACTACTACTACTTTGTGTGTGGCAGAAAGAGAAGAGGAAACAGGGTATAGCAGCAGATATATGTGACATGTGTGAAAGAGACCGTGGACCAGATGTATGTACATTAAAGCACTGGGCAAATCTGTGCTGCATCTTTTTATTCAATTTGTGCTCGCACTATCTGTGTGTAATTAGTGTGTGATTTACTAAGGCAGCAGTTCATTACGCAATCAGTGTCTGGGTCTGCCTTCTAGACTTGTTTTGTGCACGAAGGGAGAGTCCAAAAGGTGCAGTTCAGTGGTTCTCAAAGGAATGTAAAAACAAGTCAAAAGCTAACTAAGACAGATTTATTTAGGCATTCATTACTCAGTTTTAATTAAAACAGTAGAGTGATAGTGTCTGAGGAATTAAAAAAGCTATGGAATGACAAAAAATGGTGCAAAAGACAAAATGTGTTGTTAAAAAAATAGATGTATCTTTTCTATAAATGTATCTACATCTACAACTATACATCTAAACAAGGAGGAACAGGGTTAATACATATGCACCACATATCTGGACAAAAATTCTTATTGCCTTTTATTAAATTAAATTTGGGTCATTCATATCTTGAACTGCACTGTAACTGCACAGTGATTTTTGTAATGCTGTTTAATGTATTTCACAATTGTATTGTGCTGTGTACTACTGTGTTTATATTTGTCATCTATTGCTCTTTATTATTTTCATTGTTTTGAATCAATTCAAGATTTCTGTGGAAGGATACAAGATAGGTCAAATGTCCCTTTCCTTCGACAATTTTGTCTTACAGTAATACACCACTATCAATTTTCACACACTCTTATGAGGGAGCTAATTTCCCATGCAAAAAAATTCAAGAGCCTTGGTAATATCCAATTAAATGTGCAATCAACCACACGTTTAATATCTCCCTCTATTTGTGCGATCTTCCTTGCATGCATATGCATTAGAGAGAGGCCTACTTCAATAATCACATGCAAGTTGTTCCTCAGATGACAGAAAACTTGCATATGCAGCTTGAAGACATCACAGATTCGTTTAGACGCACAATGCATCAGAAACAAGGAGAGGACAAAAGAGAAAAATGATAGATAGGTGGCAAATCCTTAAGATGTGTCACATCCTCAAGCTGTCATAGATCCAGATAACTTATGCACCTCCAGTAACCACTGGAGCAGATCAGGGAGATGGCCAACAGCATAAAATAGCAACCTTGGAGACAACTGTGAGTTTTCAGCAAGGCTTTAGCGCAATAAGGGAAAATAGGCTTCTGAATGAAATAATAAAGAATCTGTAATGGTGAGAAAAAAAGACAGTTTCCATGGTAAAGCAGAAGGATAGAAGCCCTGATAGCTTTCTCATGTTCTTAGGCTGGGTGCGAGGAATAATGTTTTGACCAGCACTACTCCTTAGACTGCATTAAGTGCCACTGAGTGCCATCCATCTCCACCATAACACTAGTGCCTAAAACATTAAATCTTCATTATTTTACTCCTTTTTAGATATGCCTTAAAAAAAAACATCCAGGGAGTACCTGTCCCTGACAGAGATGGACACAGACAGAAGTGATAGATTGATAGAAGGGTGTGAGAACTTAAAAATATCTGGTGTTTCTAAGGTTGCTGCAATTCTATCATCTATATTCATCTCGCAGTGTATCTCTGTGTATATGGAAATGCTCCAAAGACGAGCACATCAAAGGAGGAGCCATGTGTTCTCCACTGCAGGCAGATCTGAGGTTTTGCCTACTAATTCGGTACCTGAAGATCCACAGAGAGGTCTGTGCCAGTGTGTGTGTGTGCGCATGTGCACACTGTTAAGTGTTTGTGTGTGTACTCGTGTTTGTTTTTCATGCATATGTATGTCCGTGGCTGTGTATGTAATGGTGGAGAGTACTGGAGTTAAGTGTTGTGTTCACAGCTACCCTCACAATCTGATAGTGTCATACATTCTACCCCTTCATATTTAGCACCAACATCAAGAAGCACTCTCATCTGCAGCAGTCAGAACCTGGCCCTACTGTTGAACAGATCTCAATTAAAACCTCATCGCAGGTTTCATGTAAAGTAGCAGAGACCTTTACGTGTTCAAATAAGGGTCTAGGGAGGTTGGTGCTAGCTATGAAAACAGCTATGTGCCATTAACATCAACATCAAGTTCCCTTGAGCTATCTCATCGTTGCATGTTTTAGATTGTAGCTAATAAAGGAAGCACATTTAATGAACCCTCATGCTTATTATTCACCGACATGAAATCGTTCCTGCACCTATGGCAACAACACAACAAAGCACTCTCGCACATCAAGTTGTCGCTATAACCCTCCTTCCACAAGCTCTACCATTAATAAAACAAAATAGCAATACAATGGCCCCTTTTGACTCGTTAACAAACCGTAATCACTGAAAGTAGATGTAAATTGTCCTTCTGCTTAATAAATCAGGTTGCTGATTTGCAAGAACGAACACTTGCAGGTATGGTATTGAGATACAGTACTGTTAACAAACCAATCACCTGGACTGTGTCAGCAGAACCAGTGTATTCACAGACATCATCAGTCCCGCAAAACAGACACATAATAAATATTGGATGCAAGCTGACTGTTTCTCTCACTGAAGTACAAAAGGAATATAGCCATGTAATGTTAATAATTTCACTAGAAGTTAAAGGCTCAATCAGTAATTTCTTGGACTACTTGAATGTGAGGTTATACTGACAAACACAACTGACTTAAAGTTAGTGTAAACAAACCCTTAAAGGCAACATGAAACATGCTGTCTTGCATTAGTTGATGGATTAAAGAGCGTGTCAATCAATAAGAGTGTGATAGCGAGTGAGCCCTTTAAGGGTGAGGGTGCTGGGTGAGCTTTCTGTTTGCATTTCAATCGCAGTGCTTTTTGGAGCTTCATATGATCAGGGATATTGCAGTGAGTCCAAATCTAATGCAGCATTGACTGCTAAGTAACAGACTATTCCATGTATGCAGGGCAGACATATTACCATGAAGGAAAACTAAAAATTGACAAACTAGTTTTAAAAGTATCCCTAATTCACCTGCTACATACGTGTGTCCTTAAAACAGAAATGCACAAACCTTTTTGGAGTAAGGGTAGCCGAAAAGACCTATCCAAAGAATCTCTTTGGAGAGAAGAACTATCAGGGCTTAGATAGATAGCTATTATGTGCCAATAGCCAATCATGACCCTAATTCAGGTTTATTGTCATATTGTGGGCTGACTAAACAAGAGTAATCACCACTGTTGTTAATTCACGCCCTCTCCACTCTATCCCAGAAATCTTCAATCTTTCTGACCTTAACACCTCCCGGATGATGAATATGACAGAAATTGTAAGCAAGAGGCAGCTATGAGCTTTGACTGTCATCTTCTATTGTCTTGTCAAACTGTCTTAAATCAACTTAGAAAAAAGATGAAGATTGACATATTCATCTCTATCAAGTCATTTAAGGGATTCTGAGACATAAATACATATTATAGTCATTATAGGATACATGACCGACTGACAGTTTGTCAGAATTATACATACCAACCCTTTCCAAGTGATGACAAGATGCAGACAGTGAGTTGAGAGTGAGTCCAATACACTGTAAGTTTCATATGTAAAGGGACTGTAGTTTAAATGAACTGTACTTACTTATAAACACTATCCATTTGGTAAGAAATAATGCTGGTTGGGAATACACTGGAATGCAACAAGTAGCAGGTTGGACTCCGGATGGAATTTATAGAATTGGCATTCAGTATGTTCTCTTGTGAAATTGGTCCCACATTAGCCACACTTTTCCGCAGCTCCAAATAATACTACAAATCTGTATGCATTTTTATCAGATGTGTTTATTCCTATCCTCATTTCATGCATTATGCTATAGCGTGTTTTTTTTTTTTTCTAATTTTAGCCAAAAAATGACAAATTTAGGTCACTTTATTATCATTTCTTTTCTATACAATTATGCCAACTGAAAATAGCTGTGTGGGTGTATGTTGCTGCAAGGTATCTGTTACTCGTTACTTATTCAGAAAGATTTTTTTTTCACAGTTTTGCCATAATTTGCCACATGTAGCATTGTGTTGCTTTTCCTTATAGGAATCCTGCATTGCTGGCACTGATGCCACAGGAGATTAGGGATAAAGTTACATTCACAACCGAACAGCTTCACATCAGAGAACTATTAATGTTGAATGTTTCAAAACCCTAAAAGATTAGGAGAAAATATGCAATACAGGGGATTCTTCACAAGCTTCTGTGAAGAAAAGATGTTGCTAACAGCCAGTATCACATTGCTGAACCTACCAAATGCTTTGTGTTTTTAATTTTCCATACAATTATGTAAGATTGTAAGAAAGGTAGAATTGTTTGGCAGGCATTAGAGGAACTCCCATATATCCAGTGTCCATGTCCATCAAACCAATACAGGCTCTAATTGTCAATAATAATTATAAACTAGTAATATGATCTAGTGCAGTTAAGAAGAAAAACTAAAAATAGAGAATTAAAAATAAATTGCAGTGTCCCAAATTGTGGTTACGTAACGAATGTCATCCGCCACCTAAAATAGTCGAGGTGAGTTTACAGAAAAGCAAACGTCACCTGACCTCATAGAAAACCTGAGCAGAGCTTCCTCGTTCTGACATCACTTCCTTCTGTCATGACCGCGCTCCCACGGTTTACAAGCCCTCCTGGTGGATCCTGGGCCGGCGTCTGAAGCTTACATATCGACTGATGGAACAAACCTTGCATCCTGCGATACCTCGGATGTAAAACGATATCTGGCTGTGCGCCGGGGTTAATGTGTGCTGATAGCCATCAGACATCACTACACATAGTAACTGTCACAATGAGTCACAAAGTAGCATAGATTACAGCAAGCATGCCCGAGGCCTTGAGGGTTGTCTTATGTAAGAGATCTCACACATGAATCGCGAATGACTTTGGATGCAACTTACCGAGCAATTAGCTGCCTTTTCATTATTAAGTCGTGTGTAAACCACTGGCACGTACATCAGCTTTAACACAGGTGTTCACATAAAGAGCTTACATTTGGCCTTGCTATGCTCATTTAGGAAGCACCCTGATGTCACTTGCTTTGATCTGCCTCAGTTTATGTTTTTAACCACTCACACACAAATGATCAAATCTAAAACCTGCTCATGTACCTTAATTATGGATGCAATAGGGAACCAATGTGCAGAGCTTACTCAAGCATATTGTGAACACTACTTGTGCATACAATTAGAAACAACACAGGCCTGACAATGCAGGTTGGGCAGGGAGCCCTGAGGTTGATCAGCATGGCGGTGATTGAACGACGACTGATTTATCTGCCTCCATTTTTCACCCTCCAGCAGGCACCACAGGGCGAAAGAGCCGAGCCATCCTTCCTCTTGACTATTCTTATCTTGGGGCTCGGGTAGAACGTCTTGACAGGGACGACCAAAGCAGCTTCTCTCCAACAAACTCACAAATCTGCTCCTTAGTTAAAGCTGAAATGTCAGCTGTGCGTGTGTGTGCGTGTGTGTGCAAGACAAGGATCAGTCCATATGTGTTATCCCTGTCCTTATTGTGCCTTTACACTTGTATTCTCTGTGATTGTCTGCCATTTTGAAATGCTTTTAAAAAAATATATATTTCAAATACGTGGGATGAAACGTACCCTCATTCATACCCACAAGCGACTACATTGCATATATTCCACTTCGGCCACGTCCGACACATGCGTTCAATAATGAGGCTTTGGCTCTTAGAATAGACCTGATCCTTGGAAGATAGCTTAGCACAGACTATATGTAGCCTTAGCTTCAGGCAAATTAGCTGGCTGCCACTATGCTATTTCTAACGCCGGACAGATTGTGTGAGACACTGGGCGAAGCTCTTCTTACACACACTTAACTGTAAATATGTCCGGTATTAAATCATTAAATCATCTGCCAAATACTGTATGCAAGTCTGCTTTAGCTTCCTGTGAAAGAAAAAAAATAAAAATAAATATATATATATATATTATGATGCACGAAATCTGCCAGTAACGCGATGCATGTGTCGCTGTGCCTGTCTGAAAAATGAATATTACACTTCAATGTCAAACCGCAAGAATAATAAGAATACTAATGATATGCGATACATAGTTTTCTACTAAAACTAAACCCCCTCCTCAGCTAATCGTTCAGGATCCCACTAACAGCAGGGTTTGTGTTGGCATTAGATGGGAGGCACGGCAAAATGATGTGTTGTTGAAATTAAGAAAAAAAACGCTACCCAACAAAGCCGACACAGAATCCCGGTTTAAAAAAGAGAAAGAAAAAAAAGGAAATACCCCGCATTAACATCTTACCTTGTGGGGAGATTAACGACAATAAACACCCAGAGAAACAGCTTCAGGGGGAGGGAAGGCTTCGCCATTGCTGTCGAGCATTTGGAGGCTAAATTTGGTGAAGCCATCATCATCACCATCTTCGTTTCCTCTTTATTGCAGATGGACGGGTCCGTCTATTTACTGTGTTTCCTCTCTACGATACATTACGCACGCTAGCGGTAGCGGGTCTGCAATTGTGGACCCGAGGCGGACGTGCGGTGGAGTCAAATCAGCTAAAACAAAAAAAAAATCGATGCCACGAGTCGAAAAGCTTGATTTCGTATCGCTCGTTTTTTTTTTTTTTTGCCTGTCTGCTGCCGGATTGACAGCCTAACGGGGGCCTAAGAAACTGCCACAGACGGCGAAGCCCCCCCCCTGTAATAAACTACGCTGGTATCGAGCTGCTGAGAAAAAGCAGTGGAGCCTCAGTCTGAATGCAGATTAACACTGGGGTCAGAGAGGAACTGATGCACGTTGCTGCAGCACGGATCAACACATGCGTGGTTTCACCAAGCGGAAGCAGGGGTGCATAGAAGCAGGGGAAGAGAGCCTTAGCTTGGTGCTACAGGGAAGAAAAAAAAATTGTGTTTTTATTTTTATATTTTTTAACTCTGATCACACCGATGCTTGTTAATATCAAATATTTTGTCAGTATGAGAAAATCATACTGGCTACTGGTGAGCGTGTAAAACTTTGCACCATTTTTTGTAATTACTGCCAAATAATGTGAGTCAGAAATGAACAAAAACCCAGTGGTCACAACATTAGACCTAAGGTGACATCCCAGGGTCCCTAACAGGCTAATGAGGAGCAAATACACCATTGTATGCAGTATCAGTGACCACAATGAGGGTCTATAGAAGTTGTCATCATGTTTCACTTTAAAAGTAATGGCAAATCATTTCAGGCGGATAATTGTAAGTGTGTGTGTTCCTTGATGCCAAACAGATCTATCTGGGATCCTTAAATGAGCTGCAGGCATGAGTCTAGCCCAGTCACGCTTTCAGCACCCTGGACAGCTCTATTAGTTTCATCTGCATTACAAACCGGCAATCAGCACCAAGGACAGCTTCCCTCAGTTTGTTATAGAGGAATGCTGGCTCTCGCATCCCAGTTGATTTAACCGCAAATGAATACATATTATCATCCCCAAAATGGAGCCCAGAAATCTGTTTGGTTTACTTTTCTGTTTGTTTTGTACATTAATTGACTGTTTGACTGAATGGGGTTAAGTGGGAATGCAACCTGTGCCAGCGGATGTATTTATATTTGGTCAGCATACACGATTCTCCTTTGATATATGTGGCTTTCCAAGTCTTTTGACATATTTTGATACCAACCCAGGGAAAGTATCCAGGGGTTTGCATTGTCCTTTGTAAGGTGCTCTAGGACCCATTTCAATATCCTTATATAAGTATGCTAATGCTCCTGCTTTGGTAGGGTGTAACTTATTTCCAAGGAGTCCTTGAGGGGATGTTTGAGAAAAAATATGTGTTCATAATGTAAAATACAAAATGGTAGCCAGTCCTACACAGTCTCATAAATTACTTCGATACTGCTGTTAAACTTCACAATCTCTCTCTCCCTCTCTCTATTTAGACACAAACAAACAACAAACAAAACATAGCTTGAAAGGCAAGTTTCAAATCTCCTTAAATTCTACTTCAGGAGGAAGAGTAGCGATAGATAGATTAAAATAGTGCTTGTTGGTGCTGTGTGTGATGTGAATGACATAAGCAAAGTAGGTCACATGCCCTCAGCAGCATTGTTTTGACTGACCCAAGGGAACTTTCACATCTGCCTGTTTTCTATTTTTAACTGTACATTCTGAAGATATCTTGGCTGCATTTCTTCTTATATATTATCTTTACTGAACGATGGGTAGAAGAATGTGGCTTCATATACAGTATATAAACACAGTGGGTTACAAAGTTACTAAAACACTATTTATTTTCCTTTTTTAAAATGTTATATTTGTCCCTATCTAGTGGAAATGTTGTTGTCCAGTGACAAACAAACAAACAAATTACCCAAATTACAGTTCATTTATCTAATTTAAAATGAAAATCTACTAGCATGGAAGCTGATGAGGGGAAACAGCAAGAGCCAAGGAGAGTGGCAGGTGCAGTGAAAACAAGCAGGTGCTTGCAGAGTTGTCGTCTTGTCATGGTGCATTAGCCCAAATTCCCCTCTGAACATTTATTCCACAGGCGTATAGGCAGTGAACATGCTGCACTATCACTTTTACGGTCCCATGAGGCCACAGCGCAGGGTAACCTGTTACACTGTTTTGTTTTTCATATGTTTGTGGCCTTATAAACTCATTCACTTAGAATGATAACCAACCATTGTCTGCTTTTTGTCTTTCAACATTAGTTATTAAAATTTGACTGTGGCAATCAAAGTTGATTGCAGCTGTTGCCGCCTAAGTGTGACATGCATGGAAGATGAGGTGTGTCTGATTTAAAAACATCATCATGTGTTTATTTGTGGCAAGTGAGGCTCAGCGTAGGCTAATCATCTTAAGGAAATTGACAGATGCTTCATCAGCCATGCAGCACTTCTCAGAGCAGAGTAAAGCAGCAACCCCTCCCAAATAAAGAAAAGATAAAGAGAGGAAGTCTCTTGTAATATTTAATTTATGGTGCTATAACCAGTTTGCAATACACATTCCCTGGCCATATTGTACATTAGCACTCCTTTTATTGTGGATATGTTTTAAAAGGCTAACAGGAAACACCTGACCTGTTATTTTGGTCATGTTTTGAGACTTTATGTTTGATAAAAATTGGCTATAATACTTTCAAAACATGACTGTATTTAACTGTATTTATTTTGCTATATTTTGTGCAGTTAAAACACTGCTATTATGAGCTAAGTAAATAGCAGAGAAGTGCAATCTCCTTTGTTCTCACATGCTATTTAACTGTATAAATATTTTACATACCTACAGCTTTGGAAATGCAAATTTAGGCCCTGCTCATACTGTAAATTAAACTGGTCTAAACAAACAAACACCTACAGCTACCCTCACACACACACACACACACACACACACATACACGGCCCATATCATTTGGTCCCCAGGGCCAGGTATCTCTCTTTACCCTGCAGCCATATTACCACAGCTGTCAGAGACTCTGCCCATTGAGGTCATGACCCAAAGGCCAGCATCAGACGTACTGGTTTGTGGTTGGGAGTATTGATCTAGCTGAAATGGAGCAGACAATTTAGATAAATGCTGATACACCCAATGGCCACTAAATGGTAACAGTGAATTAACCCATGTGGATGTTCTTCTTTAGTGGGAGACATTCACTGTTGGTTGATTAGATACATGAATGAGAGGAAAGGTGTAGGAGATACAGGGAGCAGGCTTTTGTTTGCTTGTTTGCTATTACAATATGTGACTAAATGTTTACATTTAATCTATATGTTTTTTACTGAACAGTTATTCTGATTATAGAAGGCATCCCGTTAATATCCCTTGCAGAATCTGCCTCTGTTTCTCTTTTTTACACTCTCTTTCACTCTCACACAAACACACATACTAACAGAGAGAGAGTGAGAGAGATGTCAGGTTAGATCCACTTGGTTCAATAGTCACAGCACAAATTCGAGCCAAATTGGCGCATCCTCATATCATGGATGCACCTGGGCCTTCATGCACTGACCTACCTTCAGAAACCTATTCATCTCTGTGTGTTTCTAACGTTAAAAAAATACTTGCAGGTACCTTAACTGACATACATTTACAAATCATATAGGGCCCTTGACTTACACATGAAATTAGTGTTATATAGCTATATTACAAAAACCTGTCGTAAGCAAAGCTGAATGTAGTGTCATGTTGAAGTGCATGAAATGTACAATGCAATCGGTTACAAAGCATCCAGGGTTTTCATTTATGTAATCAAAAAGACTGGGCACATTGTGGGCAGTGACGGTACTGGCATGTTAAGGCTTTGTTAAATGACATGTCTGCTTAAAATAAAACTCAATAATGATTTAATCTATTTCATGGCACCCATTCTCTCTGCAGACAGAGGCATGGCATGTGTGAGTCTGGCTGTGATAATATGTTGTGTCATCTTTAGATAAGAGCTGGGGGAGGTATGGTCTTCTATAATGGCATCATTGAACACACAGATGCCCAGTTCCACTATCATTCCAGTTTTACAACCCACACATATGCTGTCACAGCCCCACTCGGTTAGCATCAAGCTGTGGGAGCAGAATGATCTACTGTAAGCACTATTGGATATGAGAAGCAATCTGGCATTTAGACCAAAGTGATGTAACATCAGAAGCAAAAATCCAAAAACAGTAGAAGAAAGACATACAACAATTTTTGAAACTTGTTCAAGAGAAGATGTCAATGTGTTTGCGCTGCAGCGATGACACAAAAAATAAAGAGCACGGAAACTGGAAAAGATGGGTTCAGTATACAGCCAAGCGGTCTGTTTATTATATTTAGAAAATGTGCACAACACATCTGTCCTTATTGAGAGCTTTCAGAACATCCGAAAGTACTCTCTGTGCTCTGACAATACAAAAATGTTTAAACCACATCTGAAATGCCACCAGACAGGATTCCACTTTGTCTCTAAATTGTCCTACACTCCACTGACTCTCGCTGTTTATTTTTCTTTCCTGTTATATAGCCCAATTTTCCTTTAAAATCTGTCTTTATTAGGCCCCATTTACAAATAGCTCCTTTATCTAACAACATGTCATGCTGTGTCATTTGGTGCTCTCTGCTGATTTAATGAGGGCCCCCATTAAGAGTAACATCTCTGTGTCTCTTGATTTGCTGCAGTTTGCTTTTACCTTCATGTTGATAATGGTTTCTGTCATACTTTATACATCACGTTAAGTAGAAACACAATCTGATTACAGGAACAACCTAGTGGACATTCTCAGTAGTGGCTTTGAAAATAAACAATTTTGTATCATTACTTAGCAGAAACATTACCGCATTTAGATTTAGTTTTATCACTTTAACCACCTGGCTAACCCCATAGGAAATGCTGTGGTGACAAACATCTCTTTCTATGCTACTATTGCTCCCCCAAAACAATTGGCACCGTACTGCCCCAAAGGATCAAAAGTAACTCCATATTTTTTTTATTATTGCATTCTTAATGACATTTGTTTTCTAAATCTCAAGTCACCGTTCGAGACCGTGAAGGTTTGCAGTTGAATAACACCATGTTATCCCCATGGAGAATAATACCTCCCAGAATAGGCTTTATATGATATGCCAACAACACCCGCGTGGAAAGGC